AGAGAGAGAGAGAGAGAGAGAGAGAGAGAGAGAGAGAGAGAGAGAGAGAGAGAGAGAGAGGTACCTTGTTTATACGATCTGTAAGAAATGCAATGGCTTTCTGCGCCTCAGCAATTTTCTGTTTCTGCTCTGCTTTCTTTGCTTCAAAGGCTTGTTCTACCTCTTCTTCTTTCTGCAATGAGGAGCTGGTAAGGGTGCCTGCATATCAGCGAACAAATGCATCATCCGAAAATGTGAAGCTAAAGTTCATTTTGATGTGTTGCTGTCCGGATCACCTTCGCAGTCACAAATGTGGGGTTAGACTACCAGACAGGCTATGGAAGAACACGGCTCTGAGTTCTGCTGTGACAAAAGAGGAGACTATTTAGCTTAGGTTCCTTACAAAGTTCTGCTTCTTGCATCCTTTAGTTTCCTTCCAAGGTTCTGCTTCTCTCAGTCTTAGGTTCCTTACAAGTTTCCCATCCTGACAACCACAGTTTTTTTTTTTTGTTGTTGCCCCCTGCCCCACCGAACTATAGGTTCTGGTTCCATTAGTTCTATGGCATTAGTTAGGAAGCGGTATTGATGATGAAGTGCTCAGCTCAGGGTCTTCACAAGGTTTGAATTTAAGCCGCCAGTGCCTGGCCCCAGCCTTGCAGAAATTTGTTTGTTGCCTACTCAGAAAATTTTGCGGCTCGGACCTACCGGACCACAATGGCCGCCAGCCAAAAAAGAAAAAAAAGTGTGTCGCTCCGTCCCCGGGCGTGGGTGTACTGGTGGTTTAAATCCAGGGATACGTTTCCCGGCCATTTTTTCGGAGTCGCGGTGCACATGCTGCTGCATCTCTCGGGAAGCCTGCTTCGCGGCACATCCATCCAGGCAAAACGGGGTAAGTGTAGTGTTTTACCCATCTGCTCAAATCTGTTTCTCAACAGTTCAGTGGTGTACCAACTGAGCTAGGCCAGTTTTTTTTTGGCAAGTTAGGTGTCTTTTTATGGTGAAGGAATGCTCTGGAATTCAGGGCAGCCATCAGGCAGCCTCTCCAGCTGAGAGGAACTAAAGATTTTATCAGACTTGATAGGCCAGATAAGCAGAGGTTGAGCACTGGTAAATACTTCCACAAAGGAAGTAGTCAATGCTGCATTTTCAGGGTCCGTCAACCATAATGGGGGGCACCGTGGAGTGGGTCAATGATTTAAGGGAGGCTGGACCCAGTTTCCAGCTGTTTTACAAGGAAGACATTTGAAGAAAACGAAAAAAAGGGAGATATTTACAAAGCCATGTGTGTACATTATTCACTGCCAATGTGCTGCAATGAATCACAAGTGTAAACTGATGCAGCGCCATTGGTTGCTTCCATTTACAAAGGATTTACCTCTGCTCATCCCCTACTTAAGTTACATTTCCTACCTATAGTTCCTACCTATAGTTCTAAGCATCCTACCGATAGTTTCCTACCTAAGTTACATTTCCTGCCTATAGTTTCCTACCTAAGTTACATTACCTACCTTTAGTTCTAAGCATCCTTCATGCTCCTCTCACCTGCACTGTGTGCTGCCTGTTGTTTTCATACAAACCTGGGGCTACCTTGGCCCACTGGCACGTATATTTATTAATCCAGCACATATCCATTCCCAGCGTTTTCTTAGTGGATGTAAAGCAAGTAGACCCATCTTTAACACCCCTTTACTTTAACACCCCTTGACTGGTACATTGATGCAGGTAGACCCATCTTCAACATCCCTTTACTCTTACATTTATGCAAGTGGACCCATCTTCACCACTTTCTCTTACATTGATGGGAGTCTAAAGACTATAAACTCAATGTGGTAACTAATAATTATGCTATTCATTCCACAGTACGAATTATGATGTGCCATTAATGGGGCGGTCAGGTTAGGTTCCCTACAAGCTTTACTGCTTCTGACCGACCGCCTCCTTGGATTGTCCCAGGCAGTCTGGTTGTGGCCGGAGGCAATTGACTGAAAAAAAGCTGGCCCAGCCAACCCCTCCACCACCGCATCCTGCTATCGAGAGCAAGAGCCCATTGGTTAATGCAATGTTGGGCTCTCTCTTGATGCCTGTGACAGAGGTTTTGTGTTAGCAAGAGCCCATTGGTTGATGCAATGCTGGGCTCTCTCTTGATGACTGTGACAGAGGTTTGTGTTAGTTTGTGCTTTCTCCTTGTAGAGAGAGGACCAAAGGAAAAAAAAAAAAAAAAAAAAAAAAAAAAAAAAAAAAAAAAAAAAAAAAAAAAAAAAAAAAAAAAAGATTCTACCTGTGCACCATTTCTGACACGTGACCCCCTCTTTTAGCCTTGGATCGTTTAAAGGAGTCTAAATATCCATGCAGCCAGTCATTTTTACCGAAGTGAGCGGCAGTGGTGATCTTGGGAGGCTAGTTAAGATCCGAAGCTACCTGCAGCGGCAATCTTGGGAGGCTAGTTAAGGTCCGAAGCTATCTGCAGCAGCAATCTTGGGAGGTTAATTAATGTCTGACGCTACCTGCAGCAGCGAGCTTGGGAGGCTAGCTAAGGGCTGAAGCTACCTGCAGCGGCCGTCTTGGGAGTCTAGTTAGGGTTATCACTGTAGTATAGTTAAGGTGATCAATGGAGGCCAGTTTAGGCAGTTGTGGCTCGAAGATTTGCACACAAGCACTTGTATTCTTGATCTGGGATTGCCAAGGAATAACTATATGAACAAAGATCATGGAATCCTCAGGGGAATAGGCTATTCATAATCGTGCTTGTGTGTGTCTCTCCTTATTTTGCAACTTTGTGTGTGTGTGTGTGTGTGTGTGTGTGTGTGTGTGTGTGTGTGTGTGTGTGTGTGTCCCTTTTACCTCCTGGAGCACTTAGCTCCTGGTTGAGCATCTGTAATTGGCTCTCATACTTCCTGATGGTTTCCTCCAGCTCCTTGTACTGCTCGTCGGCCTGTGCAATGTCTGCATTGTCCTTCCTCATCTGTGAGTCATTCAGAGAACCAATCACAATAATTCTCGAAGTTCAGATTTACCCAAGGTGGGGGGG